TTTCCAATAATCTAAACAAGAAACCTCTCACCGCAAGGCGTAGCTAACGACGGAAAAAATCTGCGGTGCTCTTCCATCGCTGTTGGGGTCTGTTGCTGAAATAATGCCCTAGCCAAGTTTGAGGCTCCCTTACGGTGCAGGGGCCAATCTTTTAAAGCAAGAGTTGCCTAATTAACTGAGAGGCGGTGGATGTCGCCGTGCTGCCTGACCGCCTTCAAATCCTAGTTGGCGAGTTCTCTGTGCCCTGTCCAAGAACAATCAAACACTTTAAAGTCATGGGGTCGAAGAAAGTTTTGAACCCATGCAGGGACTCAGACTTCGTGACGATAGGATCATGGAACCGCCCACCAGGAAGTTCTGCTCGTACGAAAGGCTTAAGGCACATCAATTCTTCCAGTAGCTGTCGCCACGTAGTGCCGGTAAGGGATCCCTTTCGGGAGTCCTACAGAAAAGGACCCGATGAATTGAGTCAGGGCTTGCTTTGAGGACGCCCTTCTGCTATCGCGCACGCAGCCCTCATGGTAACATTCCCATTCGCAACTCCTGTATAACCTTGGGAATCGCCACAACCACTATTCGGAGCATGAACTAAAGTGAGCGACTACCAAAACATCACTCTCTCTCAGCCGTGTCCATATCCAGCATTCGCGGTTGTGCGGGGCCCCCCGTTAAAGGAAAAACAACCCCCTACACCACTGGGGCCCTTTTGCAGACCAGGCCTGGCTGTTAGGGCGATGGGGGCCTCTTGGATTGACTAGGAGGCAGGTTTCTTCAAGGCGCGCCCTTGTCAACCCTACAGCTGGCGACACTACTGACAGACTTTCACTGCCCCGAACCCTATACTGCTATAGTGCCCCACATCTTAAATCCTAAACTACACAAGCGCAGAGTAGCTGCATCTCACTCGCCCGCCCGATCCCAAGCCTCAGTGGCATCCATGCAGTTTAAGGTCTGTTTGAGGTCTGATAAAAGTTCTGGAGTTTGGTTTGGGGCTTCAAGTACCCCATCGAGCTGAAGCATCATCAGCACCCAAAAGCTGCAAAATACACATCGCCTGACTCACCCAGCCAAGTCCTAAACCCGAAAGAAGATGCCTGAAGTCCTCCACCCTAGGCCCTAAGCCGTGAAGCCCACCCCGAAACATGCAGTCCATCTCAGCTCTGTTGCTCCATCCCAGTCATCGGGCGGAGGGGATGCGATATAAGACACACCTCGGCTGCGTTGTGCACTTGTGGCCTTGCGGCCTTCAACTTACTAGTGCTCAAGAGCGCTTCGCAAGACATGGGGGAGTGAGTGTATGTAGAGTTGCGGTCGCATGTAGGGATCATATTGGTGACTCGGCACCACCAGGTCAACAATCCTCCGTCTGAGAAATACTCTGTAAATGCCATACAAGGGAGACGCACGATCAGGCAAGCTTGGGCTTGACGCTGCAAATGCAAAAGCTGTCAATGTGCAGCCGCGAGGCAGCGCTGCAGCATTAGCTCGGAAGCCTTATCCTGAGCGCTTGCATTGTATGGCCCTGTGGCGTTGTGGACAGTGCTCAACTTCCAGGTGCCAGCCAATCCCAATAAAATCTCTGCCTTCACTCCCCTTGAGACGAACCAGCGGGGTAATTGGGGTTCGGGAAATGCTTGTGGCGGTCCTTCGCGCCAGTGAGTTTCTGCATGACTTCGCCAGCAGCTGTGAAACAGTCCTTCGCCTCAGTTTGCAAAACACTTGCACGTGCCGCTGAAAAAGACCATGGCTCAATGGCTGCAGCCGATTCAAACAGTATTCTTGTTGAAGGACTTACAGGAAATGGAAGTAAAGAGTTTCTCTGAAATACAAGTCATCCCGTCAAGCCCTGAAACCAGAGCTTGTCTGTCTATTTGCTGCCCTCCGCGCTGAAGACATTCTGAAGACAACGCATCTACACGTATTCAGCCAGGCAACTTGCTCAAACCGGCCATGCCGGTAATGCTCAACGGCCTGTCGACTCTGTCTATCTCAACAGTACTGCGTTGGAAATGAATGAGTTCGTGCTTGAGGGGTGAGGGGATGGAACCTTGCAAGACTACCCATGCCATTTTTGACCCGTGGTGGCGTGACGGGCCTCTTGGACAAATTGCAAACATGGCGGAAGAAGAACCAGAAGCCACCAAGAAGCCCGATGCACCTCCCTTGTGCCAGCATGGGCGGAATGTCTTGCACGCATCTGGGTTTGCTGCTGACACTACAAAGCTCCCAAACCCCCAGTCTCAAACACACCGTGCCTCCGTATAGAGGTCAGCAGCCTTTTCTTCCAGCGTGGCCTGGCGAAGGGGCAGCCGGAGAGGGGAGAGGCGGGGACCACCACAATGGCTGGCTTATCAAACTGAAGCCTGAGTTGTGCAGGTTTTGGGCATCAAGACAAGCGCTACGGAGTTCGGGCCTTCCAACTGACAACCGAATACTGGCTACCGCAGACCTGAAACTTCCAATAGATTCGCACCAGCTGCAGAATCAAGGCAAACGTCACACCAGGGGTTTCTACAGTACTATCTACCGTGCAAGGTCTTCAATGACGCCATCTCCCTAGCAGTACGCCAATGGTTCGACAGTCATCTCACGCCCGTAGAATCATCCCTGCTACAGTCCCTCTAAGCTCCACAAGTCAAAGTGCTGTGCAACCGTGAGAGGCTGCCTTGGAGGGCCGCCGGTTGGCCTTCCAAACCTCGAAAATCCTGGGTGGAGCTGGGGAGTTCTGCGTTGTAGCTCAAGTGTGGAGACAAAGGAGACCGCCTCTGGACTAGGTAGCCTGATGGAGAAAGAAAATTTAGGGCAATTTTGCGGATTGGCGTGGCGGCTTTCATTGGTAGATTTCGGATCCGGCTTAATGCAATGTACTGTTGAAAAGCACCCCTAGGAGACTTTTAACTCCCAAACACTCCAAACCCTCGAACCCTGAAAACCAAACCCAACCCTTCAAACCCTCGAACGCCGACCCCTATAGCGGTTGGGAGTGTAATGTCGCGATTCTGTTCGGTCTCGCGTTGCTCGCCACCTTCCTCTGCGGAGCGTCGGATGAAGTCCTAGGCTCCCAGGACAGCTTGGCTATCAAGGCTTAAGGGTTGTTAAATCAAGGAAGGGAAACATGGGAACTAGGGTTTAGGGTTTAAGGAATGGAGAAGAAACTGTACACTAGACTATGACTTAGGGTCTAGATTTCAGGTACTATCGTACAGGGTTTAAGGATTCAATTGTTTCGATGTCTGTGTCAAAGTGGAAGAATCCGTTTGAACAGTTTAAGCATTCTGAAGATATGGACTCCATACTCGCTAAGGGTCCAAATGCATGGAGATATGCAGTGATGGATCATGATGGATCCAGATCGCAGGATACAACCGGCTGATTTGTCGACCCAACCACAACCTTTCTTTTTGACCTGCTGGGTCTTCCGGAGGATTGTATGCTTGAATCTTTGGCACGCATCCCTCACCCGACCTACAAACAAACGCCAGACGTGTCTGAAGCACTACGCATGCTACTCATACCAGCAGCTCCAAGTAAATGCAGCTGTGAGTCACTACAAAACTTACCACACATACCTCCAAACAGACCCCATTCCATTCACATCATTCAAATTGCTATACAAGACATCATGCTTGGTCCGTTTTGGGCACGCGCAAGGAGATGCATGAAGTGCAGGCTCAGCAGCAATGGGACGCGACACGAAACCCTCAATTTCCATGTCAGTGTGGGTCGTCTCAGAGACCAGCAACCTCAACTGACTTGGGGCTTGCTCAAAAAGACAAAGGATCCCAGGGAAAAAGCAATACAATATGGAGATCAGAAAGGGATCTGGCATGGCATCCCTGAAAAGATCTTACAGGTATAATTTCACAACATTCCCAGTTGCGACCAGCTCAAATTGGACCCTAAAGGATAACTAGCACCATTGGCCTGGCTTTCGCTCTACTTGTACCAGCTCTTTCTGCACAAGCTGTTGGGAAAATTTCCCAGTCATACTCCACTCCAAAATGCTAAGTGAAGTGCTACAGGGCGGTTTCCAAAAAAAGCTGCCAATTTTGAAAACAGTCCGGCGCAGTTCACATTTCAGCCAAGGCCGGCTCTTTTCCGAGATCACCGGACTAAAAGGGCACAAGCCTTGTTGCTGTGGTTCCTCACTAACAATACTAAGCCGATGCAGAAGATCTCGGCCAATGCCTAGCCAAGGAGCCCTTAATTATACCTAAAGCATTCAGGCCACACATGCTGAAAACGAAGAAAGATCAAAGAACAACGCTGGTAAATCAGAACCCTTATGTCGAAGTCAAATTTCTAAAGAGAGGCTGCGTGCCGTAGGTCTTGTTGAGCTCTTCTAGCCGACCGGGCATGCTGCACTCATCACCCACCTGGTTCGCGCGAGGCATTCAGATGTTCAGTTTTTTCTGAGGGTGAATGCTGGGGATTCCTGGGACAGAGGTAGAGTGTGGCAGTTCCTGGGGTCAAATGCTGGAAGTCTATGTCTGGGCTTAAAGCAGAGAACCAAGAAAACAGCAGTTCGCAGCTCAATTTTCCAGCTGCCGGCTTGCTTCCCTAAATCTACAGCCTGCACCTTTCCTCTTTTACAGGGTATGGGACGGCATGGAGCTAATAGAAAAAGAACGCATGAGAACCACAATGTCATCAGCGTTGAAAGCCTGCCCTTTATGCTAGTGCCAATCCGTGAGTGACGAATGCCAAGTAGCAATGCCATACTTGATCCGTGACTGCATGCCTTAGTTGGGGACATGGCCTAATCTTTGGAGAATCTGGGCAAGCAGCAAGCCATGGTCTGTGATGACAACATCATAAATCTATAGGTATGAAATGTGACCGTTTCCAGCACCGTTCAAAGGCAAGACTGCAATGGCTCATGGCCAACCCCGCGATCACAAGGGCAGGTGTAGTCGAGCTTTCTTGGCTGCCTTCCGGGTTACCCATGTTTCCAACGAGCACCTTGCCAGTGTGAACTCCGCATCGGATGGAAATCCTGCATCAGCCCGGCGCGCTCTGGACTAAGGATTGGGTGGTGATTTTTTGCGGTCTTCATGCTTGCGGAAGTGCACCAGGACCAAAAGGTGCTGAGATTACATGCCCAAACTCATGGGCCCTGAGGCTCCTGGGTAGCGATCGTCGATCCAACCAGGCGTTGATGCTACCCATTGCCTGGCAAGCTTGACTTGAACAAGTACATGCATGAAAGCGCATAAGCCAAGCATGCAAGCAGTCTGCTTTGACGCAAATGTCTGGCAGTTGGAGCTCACATTGAGTCCAGTCATGATGCACGATGCATATGCTGAGGCTTCTTGGGGCTCAAGTTTGTTTGCCGCTTGGAGATCCAAAAATTGATTTGCCACCCCCTCTGTAGACAGCACCGTGCTTCTGCCATACCTTTAGCTTACATCTTGCCCTAACGTTGTCCTGACACGGAAGGACAAGATCAGCTCCTACTGTAGCTGTGCCAGATCTACGGAAAGTCTCTCTCGAGAGAAGTCCTCCGCCTATGCTACTCGCCCTCTCAAGAGGTGACAAAGCAAAGCCAGCCTGGAGCATCTCGACCTCAAATCAGTGATTATGACCATGCTGCTTTCACATTACATTAACTACTGTTTTCTATTGTTATCATCTTTGATTTTTTAAATGTGACACTAGTGCTGATATGACTTCCCAGCAATTTGCTGGTCGCCACCCCAGCAGCCGGGAGTCAGTGAACCGGCAAGGAATGGTAGTTATTGTTACGATGAACAAAAAAGATGCGACGGGATGTTCTGCAGCTTAGTTTTCAAAGCCAGGAGCTCGATATATAGGGTCCCTCACCTCAATCTTACTGAACACCAGATGTTTGGCAGATTCTAGCAGGGCAAACGCCACTCAAAGGTGACCCTTGTTCCATGGCGTGCCTTGCAATGACCCATTGTGTCAGGATGCAACCCATGGTCTGGGGGGTACCTGCTGAGTTGACTTACACAAACAATCCCCACAACCATACCTGCTACCGCTGTTACGAATTCTGGCTGTGAACAACTGTACGAGTACCCTTAAAAGTCCCGACTGTATGTTAACGTTTACGGGTGGAGTGTATTTTCAGAGTGAGATTTGCTCATGGATAAAAGCTGAAATAATCTTGATAGGGAACAAACACTGGCTAGCGGATGCTAGCGGGAGTGCTAGGAATCAAGCGGAGTGTGTGAGCGTTTAAGTAACCGGGGGAATGTTTCCTCCACACCGAGGTATGGGCTGCTGCCCGCACTGCGACGGTTGGGTGGCTGTCGTTCACCACTGGAGCGCCATAGATGCAAAGGATGGCGTCGCCTCAAGCAACGCAAGAGGACAAATGACCTTCGTGAACTAAGCTTTTGTGGTATCGTCCCAATATGCGAGGAACATGATGGAGCCATACCCTTAAGAACTCGCAAGTGCAGTACATGCAACCTGACAGGCATTGATGGGAGAGAGAAAGAGAGAGAGAGAGAGAGAGAGAGCATTACGGGTGGCTCAGCTCCTCCGGGCGCAAACAAACGGTTCTGGAATTGATCCCTCATAGATTGAAGATGTTTTTTGCTACGCTGTGTGCTGCAAACTTTCAAAGCTTGCGGCCGCTTGCTTCTCTCAGAGCTATGCCTAAGCCAGTCTTAGGGTGCGCGGGGAACCCCATAAGCAGTCTAGGCTTACAGCTAGAACAAGATGGAAGGGAATCATGCTCGCATGTGCTAGGACAGAAGCGATCTGAGAACCGCACAAGTTGAAAGGACTAATTTCAACCCCAGAATCGAGTCCGTTCAAAGTGGCAAAGCTCTCCAAATCAAATGCCCCAGCAATCCCCAGTAGAAGCTTCGTATTTGCTGCGGAGTTGCCTATGAATTCGACGACGATCCCTCCATGGGCATCAACAATTTTGGACATCTCCTGCATGCACGCAAAATGGGCGTGCTCCAACCGAGAAGAGAGTAAAGGATAGCAAACGCAAAGAAGGCAATATTCTGGCTTCCTAGTATGCTTTAATCTTTAACATCAAGAGAGACAAGTGTCTTAACAGATGTTTCAACATGCAGCTCCTGAAAGTACCGGCTGAGCAGCAGCAGCGAGCTCTTTGGTGGCAGGCTTTCAACGATGGTAGTGAAACTGGCGATGTCTGAGAAGAACATCGTCACCTTGCAATACTAGCAAGTCAGCAAGCTCAGAGAGAGGTAATGCATGTTCAGGATGAGAACTGCATATTCTGTACTGCTGCCAGCGCACTTAAACAATATGCCCTGGATTCTGAGCCCTATAAACCCCGGTTCTTCCCTGCAGGGCCTGGCGTTCGGAGACCTCAATATTCGCCTCCGCGTCCTTGCGCATCATTAGCTGAACCACGGGCCTTGGCTGGAAAAAGGGTTGACACAAGCAACTAAGCTGGTAGAGCCAGTTTTGTTCAAGAATCTAAGATATGTTATTCATCTGACTTACTACAAACTAGAGCCACAGAGGCCAGCAGAGACAATCCAGACCATGGCCCATCTGTTCTTTTCATACCCGCTGCAGTCTGCCAAGTGGCCACGGCACATACTTGCCCCACGACCGGATGGCCGTCTTCATGCTGTCAAACCGTCGGCGAAGTAGCCTGAACCATAGACTATAGAATTCCGTGCCGTCGGTTGCAAAGCACACTTGAAAGACCTCTCTGTCTCTCACACGTGCTCAGTCCAAGACTGTCAGACGCAAAGTTGAGGCACAAGGCCCCGTGTGTCGCAGCATAACCCCAACAAACTACAAAGAAATGACCCTGTCAATCCAAAATGGAGGCACCCCGAATCTCCACTCTGGACATCATCCAACATCAAACAACACGAAGGGGATTGTGGGAAGGAGATCTGTAGGTACATCGCTGTCTTGGCGGTGTGCTGGCCAAATAACAAGCACATGCAGTTTTCAAGGTTCAGTCTGCTTCCCTGGAGTTGAGAAATGCCTGTAGCAAAACCATTTTCAAATATGAAATGATCATGCAGGAGCGCGTCGGGCAGAATCCCCTATAGGCTGCACATCTGGACTGCCGTGAGCTTGCTAGAGCTCGGAATTTGTTCTAAAAGACCTTAACATCAAATCTTGGTGCCCAGGCCTGATCTCGCTGGACACACGCGTGTTATCCTGGATGCAAACGAGTCTGCTTCATCGAGCTGAAAGCTTTGTTGACGGAGACTGTGACTGTAGCCTTTCTTGCAGTTATCCATTTTACTTAACAAAAAATGCTGAAGACCTCCCTTGCGGGGTTCCGATTGCTTTGGGCACTGGCTCCCTGCGAGACGTTTACCCCTGTAGGGGTCAAGACAAATGGTTACGCTACAAGCCATCAGCCTATGTACTTTGAAACAGCTTCCGTCTCATTTTTGCATTTGATTCTTTCTCCTATTTGTTTTACCGCTCCGAAGCCCCTGCCCTCAATGGCCTCCTCCAGACTGTGGGTCGTTGCCGAGTTTGTGGCTGCAAGCTGAAGGCGAGTGATACTTTCCTGGGATCATAGCTAGGTATCGGGTACTGAGACTAGTTCTTTGCAGTCTGTCCATTCAGACTGCAAGGCAAAAGCCCATCGAGACTTCCGCTAAAACAGCATCTAAGTTCTTGACTCATGATTCAGAAGTTGCAGTTGCCAAAAGGGCCTACCTCTGGATTCCATCAGTGTGATCTTCGTACAGCTCATCGGTGTGGGAAGGGATTGTCATGAGCATGGACATGTGGAAGACTCTGCTCTCACATTCATAATCCCGATGTGCATACATGTCATCAGCATCATCATGATCATCACTGTGACGTCCATGAGTGTCCTAACCGCTGTTGTCTGTTCTCGTGCGGCGTGCTTTTTGGTGCCGCTAAGCTCATGCACCTGGCACGAGCACCGGTCATGATTGCCTGAGGCAGGTGGCATATTGACGGATGCGCTCGTCCTACTCTTTGGGCCTTCAAGCACTGTCATAACTTCTGCTTGCTGATCATGATGCTCTCCAACGACAGGAGGCCCCGAAAATCAGTGCAAGTAGGTTGTAAATGGGATTCAGATATCCCATTCGCAGCAGCCCTACGAGTAGAGGCGTAAGCTCAGACCTCACCCGAATCTTCACGGTGAATAAGACATACGGCCCTTGCGGGAGGCCTTGAAGAAGTGGGTCTTCCCTGTTGAGGGGCTCAGGTAATCTGTCTGCATCAGCTGACCCTGCCATTTCAAGTCTGGCCACGACTTCGTCAGCAAGCTCCACCAGCGGTTTCAGCAGGTTTTTGGACAAATACCTGGAAATTGGCAGCTTAGCACGATGCATGTGTGGGTGCCGTTTCTTGCCGAATTTTACATACTCTTGACAAAGCTCTAAGCCGCATAACAAGCAATGCACGGCTGAGCTTTGTAGCATGCCGGCATTCCTTGCGAGAAGTAGTGTGTAGGGTGGATAATGGATGAGGGGCTCATAGCCGATGGCCGTTATGTCAGCTTTGTTGCGTGAGATCCCTCGTGAGCAGGCTGATGCCGATGATGATCAGGAAGAGGACCACCCCTGAGAGGGCCACAATTTCAATCACAAAGGGTGCAGCCTGACATCTCTCTTGCTGAGGTTTTGCATGCGCAGACACTGAATTTGACAACTGGGGCCGATAGCTCTGAAATTTTGAACCTGGCTTCATAATATCACACTTTTCAGAACATGACACGCTTGCACCCCAAAACCTGTCTGATCCTGTGCGCTGAACCTCCCCGGACATCCTTAGGCTCTGGCAGGTGGTGATGATAGAGTCCCTGGCCGTTGCCACTGTATCTGCTCGATTCCTAAGAGGGAGGCATACTTGTGCTTAAAGGGAGGCATGAGTGAAAATGTCATGGCTGTGGTCTGGGCTTCTCAGGGCCAGTGCAAACCCCAAAAGCTGGATGCTCTCTGCGCGTGGCAACAACCACCTCCAGCCAACACACTGCGCACCCAACGTCTTTAGACGACTTCGCAATCCCAACTTGAAGGCCTTCGCGGACGCACTCAGGTTGCATGTGCTACCTTGCGAGCAAAGGCAGTATACTCCCTAAACCCTGATGCCACAATCAGAGGCACTCACAGCATGAAGCCTTCAACGGCCACAACAAGAGGACCTTGACCCCAATCACCCCGTCCCCCCCCATGCCCCACAAAGCCACCTCCTATCTACTCTTCAGCAATGTGTCAGGAAGAGGGCCACAGCTTCTGTCATGTTCTCCAGGTCCTCTGCCGTGATGTCCTGGAGGCCAGGCCCTAGAACCTTTGCCAAATTCAGGTGCCCCGAAAACTGAAACCTCCTTCAGCAACGAGACTGACCCGACCAGAATGGGGTCCAACTTTGGGATTGTAGTGTAGCTTGACTAGGACGGGACTGCGGGGAGCTGATGCCTTTGTTCAAGAACCTGTACCTGTCTGCCCATGCAGGGTCTAAAGCAATGCGGGAATTTTCCGCACCTGCATGTAGCATGTGAACTGGTGTGCATCAAATGCAGCCGCATAGGTTTGTGACTCCACACTACTAGTCTCTGTGATTCATGCTGCCCCATGCAGGTACTCAAGACTGCAGCTAAAACGTCCTGCATCATGACTGACTTTGTAGCAATGCACGTGCAGTTGTCTTGTCTTGTAACATGGATAAGCATCGATCTATATCTCATGGCTATAGTAATACCTCCCTGAACGAAAGCCGCTGCCTGCTTCAGCTATCAACATCTGGATATTACAAGAGTCCTGGTCGTCAAAGTCGGGAAACCGCATGAGCAGCCTTAGCTTCAAAAGGCAAATGTGTGCGGCGAGTATGCGGCAAAGTCGACACTTCTTGCTGTACTCCAGCGACTCATTGCAGACCAGCATGCAGCTTCCTTTCTGCTAATGGGGGAAATTTGAAGAAACTGACTTGGACGTGGGTGCACGCGCCAGAATGGACCAAGGTGCAAGTCCATCTGCCGGTACTTGGATGCTATGACATCAATGTCCACTGCATCAAGCCGCTTTGTCCTTAGTGCCCGAGCAAAACACCACGGTAGTTTCAACAGCAAATGCCTTGAGATCGTGCTATTGTTTAGCTTCGGACTTGTCGCTAGAAGTCACGTAAGCCTTAGAAGGTGGAGCAGTTGGGAGGTTAGCAAGGAATCAGCAGAAGCATATTAACTTGGGTTCACCCTTCTTCTCCTTCCACCAAGAATTGTAACACTCTCAACACTAGACCTGTGCCGTCTTCTGTACGCCAGGCTGCGGACCCCAGGACACTGGCTCGCTCAGCGGCGAGTCACAGCTTTTTTCGTCAGGCCCCGGCAGAAGGGAGTTGCAGTAGACTCTCCTGCCCAAACTGCCAGTTGTTGTTGTGGTTTTTGCCTGTTAGGGTCCTCCGGGCTAAGCTGGCTATCGGGACCAGGACTATGGCAGGCTTGCACGAGTCCGCATGGAATGGTGTTCTCAGGAGTGGGGTCTGCTGCCATCATGCCTCTCCAGAGGTTGGCCCGTATTTCAACAAAATCTGAGCCCGCACCCCTTTGAGCCCAGCGCGGGAAAGTAAAGAGGCCCATGGGGTACCTGGAGCCGATCCCAAGTCCTAGAGGCTTCGGTGCGTCCAGTTTACTTCAAGGCAGAGACCCACATTAGGCAGAAGTAATACACCCTCTCGCAGGCATCACATGCAACCCCTGAATCTGTGCGTGATCGGAAGTTTAAGACACTAAGACACGCCAATGGTGGACAAGAAACCCTCTGTTGCCAGGCCCTGAAAGGTGGGGGATAGTCATTACTCAAGGGGGTCGGAACAGAGCGAACGGTTGGCCTTGTGATATTATGACCAAAGGTACTGAATGGAGCGAACCCTTGTCCTGTACGGACTAGAAACGGAACAATGGCATGACTTGAACTGGGCACCCCAGAGACAGACAAAATGAAACCATCTCCCCTTCTGAATGCCGGGCAATCCTTTCCATAGACCATCGCTTTCTTATCAAACCGCTCGAAAACCCCAGCAACTCATCCCTGTTGAGAGGTAGTATAGTATACCCGGCCCAGCAGAACGGTAAAAGTGTAATCACGGAACAATCTGGTCCCTTTCCAGGTCTGGGCCTCAATCTGCCAAACATGAATTAGAGATTCCAATTCCCCAGCAACCAGCTCCATTCCGGATTCCATTGAACACCAGGCTTCGTGCTTGACAGAAACCATCGATTTCTATTTAGCCGCTCATGCCACAAGCGAAAAACCTGCCACATCATCCTGGGGCGTAGTATATCTGACGCAGCAAAGAGGAATAGTGGCCCCCAAAAAAGGGTACGGAATAATCTGGTCAGCGCCAGGCCTGGGCCCACATCTATAAAATTCTACATGAATTCTTATTTGAGGCGAGGTTGAACCAAAGAGCTCTGAAACCCAGGTGCCCACAAGAGTCCTACCCTTGGAATTTTTCCAGGACCCAGCCACGCAAACAACTTTCCCTCATTATATAGAATCGTCTAGCTGTTTGGTGGGGGGGCTTTATAATCAGAAACTCCCCATAACAGAATTCCCTGGGCCGACATCAAAGGGCGTAGGATGGCATGGGCCTCTGGAGGTCCAGGTAGAGGAGCGGCCGAT